AAAAAAAAAAAAAAAAAAAAAAAGATCCTTTTTGGGGCTGGAAAGATGGCTCAGCAGTAACAGCCCTGGCTGCTCTTCCAAAGAATCCAGGTTTGATTCCCAGAACCCACATGGTGGTTCAAAACTGTCCTTAATTCTAGTCTCAGGGGCTCTGACACCTTCTTGAAGCTTCCATGGTGCACAGACATACACACAAGCAAAACACCTATATACATAAAAATAAATATAAACAAATCAAATTCAACAATGATGAAGATTATTCAACAACATGTGCAAATCAATAAGATATAATATAGCACATGAAGAGAACCAAAAATAAAAATCACATGACCATTCAATAGCTGCAGAAAGAGCTTTTAAAAAAATTCAACACACTTTTACAATAAACACCCTGTATAAACTAGGACTACAGGGTTGGAAAGACTGCCCAGTTAGTAAAACATACGCTACACAGCATGAGGACCTGCATCTGGATCCCAGCACTCAGCTAAAAGCAAGGTTTGGCGGGAAAGGCTTGTGATCCTAGTGCTAGGGAAGCTGATACAGGAGGGTCCTCATGGCTCACTGGCCAAACTGTCTAACCAAATTGACGGGCTCCAGGTTCAGTGAGTGATCCTGTCTCAAAAGCTCTAGAGACTAAGGCAGTTACCTCTGTCCTCCACATGTGCACATGACTTACAAATAAACATGTACACTCAAACAAAATGATCATATTTTAACATTCTAAAGGTTTTATACAATAAACTATAAGCCAATTTATATTAAATGAAAAAAAAAACCTTAAAAGCATTTACTATAACATCATGAATGAGACAAGGGTATCCACTCTCTCCACTTTTACTCATCATAGTGCTTAATTCTTACCCAGCAATAAAGCAAGATAGATAAATAAAATGGAAGTCAAATTATCCCTATCTGCAGATGACAGAATTCTATACTTGCAGAATTTTCGTGCAGACAATGAGACTGCACGAAACTAAAGGGCTATTCCAGAAAAGCAGCAGACAGAGAGTAAAGAGACAAGCTACACAGGGGAGAAATGTTGCGGTGTGAATGTAAAATGCCCCCAAAAGCTGTGTGTCTGAATAGTTAGTCATCAACATGGAAAAAATTGGGTGCTTGGGCTAAGTTTTGAGGTTTCTGAACCAGCTCTACTTCCTACCTTCTTTCTGCTTTCTGACTGAGGAGGCACTATGACCAGCTGCCTCATGGACATGAGGGACTGCAACTGGAGTAAAGCTGCCCTCCCATAAACAAACTGCCCCCCCCCCCAGAGCTGAGGACCGAACCGAGGGCCTTGCGCTTGCTAGGCAAGTGTTCTACCACTGAGCTAAGTCCCCAACCCCAACAAACTGCTTTTGTTAGGCAATTTGCCAAAGCAATGAAAAAGTAACTCTTGTAAGATTTATACACAGACAGTTATATAAAGAACACACACACAGATAAAATCAGCACTTAAAAAAAAATAACTGAATCAACAAATTGAACAGACTATTCTCCAAAGAAGTATAAGTGACAAGCAAATGCATGAAAAAAAAAATGTTCAACACCCTTAGTCATCAAGGAAATACAAAAACTAGACTGAGATTCCATCCCACCTCAATGAGAAGGGTATCATAAACAATGTAAACAAGCTGGGCTTGGTGGTGCACGTCTTTAACACCAGCACAGCCAGAGGCTGGCAGATCTCTGAGTTCAAGACCATTGTAGTCAACAAAGCCAGTTCCAGGACAGCTAAGGCTACACAGAGAAACCCTGTCTCCAAAAAAATAAATCAATAAAAGCAATACTAATAAACCAGTAAATGTTGACATGGATAAAAGGAAAAACAAGACCTTTAAAACCATTTGGGTAAGAATGTTCAACCACTGTGAACATTACAATACAGAGGTTCTTCAAAAAACAAACTTAGACTGGGTAGGTGGTATTCACAGCACACGCCTTTGATCCCAATACTCAGGAGGCAGAGGCAGGCGGATCTCTGTGAATTCCAGGCCAGCCTGCCAGGGCAGTTACAGAGAGAAACCCTTTTTCAAAACAAACAAATAAATTTAGGCTAGGCATAGTGACATAGGCCTTAATCCCATCACTCAGAAGGCAGAGGCAGGAGAATCTCTGTGAATTCAAGGCCATCCTGGTCTATATAGTGAGTTCTAGGCTAGCCAGGGCTACACAGTAAAGGCCACCCAAAACAGAACTACCAAATAATCCATCTGTGCTGTTCCTAGGTGTACCCCTGAGGACCAAATCCAGCGATCACTAGAATAGCCCATGTTTACTGCTGCACTATTACTCTTAGCAAGCTTTTATCACAGGTATTCAACAAATAAATAAAATGTGTCAGTCTACACAAGAAAGTGTAAAATTATGTTATATAAAGGAAACGGATGGAAATGAAGATCATCACAGTAAGGAAAATAAGCTAGACTCAGAAAAACAAATACTGAATGTTGTCTCTCCTAGGCAGAATCTAGATTGTTTTTAAGTTATGAAGAAAGAAAGAAGACTATTTGGGAAGAAGAGAAAGACCAGTATAAGTGGGGATAAGAGATGGAATAGGGGCCAGGCGGTGGTGGCGCGCACCTTTAATCCCAGCACTCGGGAGGCAGAGCCAGGCGGATCTCTGTGAGTTCGAGGCCAGCCTGGGCTACCAAGTGAGTTCCAGGAAAAGCGCAAAGCTACACAAGAGAAACCCTATCTTGAAAAACCGAAAAAAGAAAAAAAAAAAAGAGATGGAATAGGACAAAACATGATCAATGTATATTATAGGCATGTATGAAAATGTCACAATAAAAACCCACTGTTGTATAACTGACATATACTAATTCAAGAAATAAAACAATTGGGTAGTTCCACACATATTACCAAAATTATCCAAGTTCTCATATGATACAGCAACTCTATACTATTAGGTATATATTCAGGAGAAATGAAAACATGTCCTTTACATGCATATTCACAACTGGTAATGACTTAAATATCCACCAACAGATGATTAAACAAAACATCTATACAATGCAGTATTATTATTCAGCCATAAAAAGTAATTAAAGGTCAATATTTGCTACAACATGGAAGAATCTTGAAAACATGCTAAATGAAAGAAGCCAAAGCAAATACAAAAGTCTAAGGAGACATTTACAGACAGAGGCAGATCATTAGTTCTCTAGACTGGGGATAAAGGGAATAGAAGCAATCCCTAAAGGGTAAGGAGGAATGTTTGTTTGATTGGGTTTTGTTTTGTTTTGTTGTTTTTTTGTTTGTTTTAAATGTGTATGGGGTTTCTCCTTACATGTATGCCAGTACACACATAAGTGGTGCCTACAGAGGCCAGAGGTGTCTGATACCCTGGGACTGGACATATAGACAACTCAAACCCAGGTGTCTGATACCCTAGGACTGGACATATAGACAAATCAAACCCAGGTCCTCTAAAGAGCAGCAAACGCTCTTAATCACTGAGCCATCTCTCCAGCCCTGAGTGAGGTTTCCTTCTGCAGTGATGGAAATGTTCTAAAATGACGGGATGTGGCAGCACACATCTGCAATCGCAGCACTGGGGAGACAGAGGCAGGATCTTGAGTTTGAGGCTGGAACTGCACTACATACTCAGACGATATTTCAGAGACAAAGACAAAACAAGGTTTAAAACTGACATTTACCTATCACCATGCTATAAGATGAATTACATTTTTAAAGGTGGAACTGTCGGGCATAAGAAATTTATCAATAAAGTTTGGTGTTTGTTTTTTAAGGAACTTATACCCATTTCAAAAAGTACACTTTTTGTATGTTTTTGATGATGTCACAAATACATTACCTCCACAGTATCTGGGAGAATGAAGTTTTCTGCTAGCTGTAATGATACATGTAAGCTATGCTTTCCCTGGAGGCTGTCATTGTCTTTCTGTAACCTCACCAGCTCTTCTGAAACCTGTTCACGGGACTGCATCAGCACCGCCTAAAACAGAAACAGATGCTAATCACAGCTAGGAAGGTAATTCTAGTTTAGTAACAACCATCAGAGAAAAACAAGGCCAAATAAAATGACATTTGATGATGGGGGAGTATGTTATAAAACAATGTAAGACTTCTAAAAACACACACACAGCTCATAACTAATATTTTATTCATTTATTTATTGTGATGTGAACCTGTGTGTGACATAGCGTGTGTGACATAGCATGTGTGTGGAGACCAGAGAACAACTTTGTGGAGTCCATTCTTGGCTTCCATGTTTACAGTACTTCCAAGTATTATATTAAGGTCAAGCAGAGCATCTCATTCTCCACCAGCCCCCCACCCTGTTCTTTATTGCAGCCTTTCTATATATTCAGCAAGAGCCAGACAATGAGACAATTATAGGAACTCATTTTTTGCTGTTCCTACCAGCAATTCAAAAATATTCAGTTTCTTGTCTCCCAGGACACAGTGTAACCAGATTCTATGGCTCAGTGGATTGGCTGACACGAGCAAGACCTGTACCAAACAGAACAAGTATTCCCCAGAAGAATGGAAAAGGCAGGATCTCCAACTTCCCTTACACCCACTGCACATACAATGAGTCCAGGATCAAGTGAACAGCTGGGCAGCCCCAGGCCGCAACTCTTCAAAAGGATCTCAGGTTTCATTTGGTGGTGTGTATGCCCATGATCCCACCACCCAGGAGGCCAGGCTTAAGACCCAGAGATCAAGCAAGCCTCAGGTGGATAGAAATTAAAGGCCAGCCTAAGCAACATAAAATCCTGTCTCAAGCCTCTACAACACTCCCTCACAGCCACCCAATAAAGAGGATCTGTGCCCTAGCTGGCCTGGAACCCACTATGTAAATGAGGCTGGCCTTGAACTCAGAGATCTACCTGCTTCTGCTTTCCCAGTGATGTCACCATGCCCAGTTTTCTGCTGATTTTTAATATCAAGTCATTTGTTACAAATTAATATACATGCATGCAGATCACTCACTCAGGCTACCTTTGTTTATCACCCACTACTGGAAAGTAGGCATTTTTCTGCCCATCAAGAATCCAGAGACAAAGATACATTCCCTAGAGAAGCTTGTGATAGAAAAGTTTAGTTAAAGCCAAAACTACCCTCAGTATGACATGGTGCTATAACAAAAGCTGCTTAGTGAACATTACAAGAATGAAGGAACACGTAAGTAGGAGGAAGAAGTCAGCCAGAGAGTTAAAGAATATCTTCCAAGGTGGCTGATGAGCAAGCCGAATCCCAAAGGCAGGCAGGTCATGTACAAACTTTGGTTAAACATGGCTTTATTTTCTTGAGACTAGTTGATTGTGCCTTATATCACTCTCAATCTGTACCTAGCCTAGCAAGCATTCTACAAGACACACATGACCCTCCCTTTGACCATCAGACTCATGAGACACTGCACCCCAAGGAAATGGAATTTCTCTAGCAGCCTCATGCTGGGAGAAAGAAACAAACCCACCCTGGTACCAGCCGGAGAAAGCTCATCCAGAAACAGATTCCACACAGTTCTGACTTGTCAGACTGCCTTAAGGTAAGACACAAGCAGAGACAATGATAGGTGGCCACAGCTTGACAGAAATGGCTTAGCTATCTGTGCACATCTCTTGCCATCAACTGAGATTCAACCCTCTTGTTAGGAGCATGAAGATGGACTTGGGGGAAGGTGTCACTTGGCCTCTTTGTTCTTCCCAATGTGGCCATGTTAGAGTAGCAATAAAGGACCACCTGTGTGTGTGTGTGTGTGTGTGTGTGTGTGTGTGTGTGTGTGTGTGTGTGTACAATGTATGTGATTCACATGCTTGTGACACAGCATATATGTAGAGTTCAGAGGTCAACATTGAGTGTTTTCCTTAATCACTCTCGACCTTAATTCCACCTAAATTTTGAAGACAGGGTCTCTCATTAACCCAAGCTCGCTGGCCAATGATTTCCAGAGATCAGCACATCTGTGTACACACCAATTAGTCCCTATCCTTGAATGTGGTTACAGAGGCATACCTGCTACCACATAGGGCACAAAGGTTCCCGGTGGCCACTGCTCATGAAGCTCTGCTTCCATCCCTCACATCTAACAGCCTCCTGAAAGGTCTCCAGAGCTACAGCAAATATGTAAATTCTGGGAAGTTAATAAGCTGTCCAGGAAAATGTTAAGTATTCAAAAGCTGTGTGAGCTGGAGATGACAATTATCTCTATTGTTTTTAACTTGTATTCTAAACTGAAAATTAAATACTGGTTTATCAAAATTTACTCTGTTTAGGTTACCCAAGTCAAAAAAGCAAAAGATGAAATGGGGCAGGATGAGGAGCTCTGCTTAGAAGAAACGATGTCTGTACAGCATTTCACCATCACAAATGTTCTTTAGGCCCTGGAGTATACAACAGTAGCTACTTTGAACAGGGTAATAGTCACATTAAAGATAATTTCGAGAAAGAAAAAAAAGGTAGCATATGACATATACTTCAAACACTGACTTACCATCTGTTCTTGAACGTCCCTCTTTGCTTGAGAAAAGCTCTGTTGTAACTCTTCAAGTAAGACCTCGGAAGCTTGAGCTCTTAGGACAAGTGCAGATATCTGAATAGAAGATGCACACATGAAAATGCACAGTTACAAATTGGTTATCTGAAGCTAACCCTGCATCCCGTTACTCCACAGCAAATCCATGGGAACCACTCATCTTTCATTCAACCAATGTGTGCACTTGCTATATGGCAAGACTCTTGGGTACCTCAGTGCATTAGCAAAGTTTAAGTCACATGCTGACTCACATCAACAAACAGTACTAATTGGTTCTGAGAATGATGAGAACCCACATGACCTAGTTAAAGATGTATTTTTTTTTTTTTTTTTTTTTTACGATTTATTTATTTATGTATACAGAAGAGGGCGCCAGGTCTCATTACAGATGGTTGTGAGCCGCCATGTGGGTGCTGGGAATTGAACTCAGGACCTCTGGAAGAGCAGTCGGTGCTCTTAACCTCTGAGCCATCTCTCCAGCCCTAAAGGTGTATTTTTAAGAAGCTTAAAAAAATTAAATTAAAAAACAAAACAAAACTAGAAGCCTGGGGCTGGAGTAAAGGCACGGCTGATAAAGGAACTTGCTGCTAAGCCTGATGACCTGAGTTTGTTCCTCATAACCCATCTGGTGGAAGAAAGAACTGATTCCTGCAAGTTGTCCTCTGATCTCCACACAAGTGCCATGGCTATACATATACATATACATATATACATGAATGGCGTGTGTGTGTGTGTGTGTGTGTGTGTGTGTGTGTGTGTGTGTATACTTGTGCATGCGCACAGGCACAAGTAAATATATTTCTTTAAAATGAAGGAAGGAGAGAAAGAGAGGAGACAGTACACCTTTAAAGGATAAATGAATCCTTTCTGAGTTGGTTACAATCTTCTAAAGAGTGATTAGTATCACTTAACTCTCAACTGTTTTGGATTAGTGTTAATATTCCTGGGGAGGGAATTATTAAAAACTGATCATTCACACACAAAAACTTACAAAAATAATTTTGTCTAGGTATTTAAAAAATGATTGTTAGAATTTTGTTTCTAGCTAGGCAGTGGTGACACATGCCTTTAATCCCAGTACTCGGGAGGCAGAGGTAGACAGATCTCTGTGAGTTCGAGGCCAGCCTGGTCTATGACCTGGTCTACAGAGCAAGTTTCAGGACAGCCAGGGCTACACAGAGAAACCCTATCTCAAAAAAACAAAAACAAATCAACAACAACGACCCAAAAAAAAAAAAAAAAAAAAAAGAATTTTGTGGGGCTGGTGAGATGGCTCAGAGATTAAGAGCACTGGCTGCTCTTTCAGAGGACCTGGGTTCAATTCCCAACACCCACGTGGCAGCTCACAACTGTCTCTAACTCCAGTTCCAGGGGATCTAACACACTTACACCAATGCACATTAAATTAAATTATTTTTTTTTAAAAAAAGAATTTTGTTTCTAATAATGACAGACTAGGTGATGTGAACCAAAGTACTGAAAATTAGGCTGTATAAAAATATAAGCTGTATCTTTTCAAAAGATTCTAGTTGTATTTTTACTTATGTGCATATGTGTATGTCTGAGTTTAGGTTTGTGCATGTGAGTGCAGTATCTGTAAAGGCCAGAAGAGAGCATCAGATCTCTTGGAGCTGGAGTTAGAGGCAACTGTAGGTGGCCAGACAAGGATGATAGCAACTGAATGTAGGTCCTCTACAAGAGTAATATGTGCTCTTAACCTCTGAAGTGATCTCTCCACCCCCAAAACTCTTATCTCTTTGAAGGCACTGGACAACTAATAAATACACAGGACAGGGCCTAGTGTTTGAAGCAGCTCTCTAAAAGTACCAATTCTAAATAAACAGCTGTGACACAGAGAGCAGGGCAAGGCATCCGAGAGCCAGATAGGATGGCAAAATAAGAAATCCAGGAGGCACCAAGAAAATACCTTGTAAACTAGAGCCACAAGGACCACATTCTTGGGGAAATGAATACTTTTAATAATAATCTAACCTTCCAAACTTTATACAATCTCAGTTCCTGTAACTGCATAAAATGATGCAGCACTGTGAGTATCACTAGTTACCTGCCTCTCATAAAGAAATGCCCTTGAACTTCTGATCTTGTCTCAACCTCCCAAGTGCTGGGATTAGAGGGATGTACGACCACACCTGTGGTGCCAAGGAATGAGCCAAGGGCCTCATGCATGCTAGGCAAGCACTCTACCCACTTAGTACATCCCCGACCCAGTCCATTCATTATTCATTTTTAATAGACTATACAGTATTTAACACAAATACACAAGGGAATGGCTTTTTATAAAAACAGGCAATAGATATAGGTCTTCAATGAGTCCAGATACATAAGCTATTAGCTACTAAATAGACTTATTCAAAGGCCTAAATGACAAAATTTGGAATTATCAGAGAACTAGGGATAATGAATAATAGCCAATATTTGCTGTGGGATGGTCTGTATGTCAAATTGTTCTGATTGGTCAGTAAATAAAACACTGATTGGCCAGTGGCTAGGCAGGAAGTATAGGCGGGACTAACAGAGAGGAGAAATAAAAGAACAGGAAGGTGGAAGGAGTCACTGCCTGCTGCCGCCATGACAAGCAGCATGTGAAGATGCTGGTAAGCCACGAGCCACGTGGCAAGGTATAGATTAATAGAAATGAATTAATTTAAGATATAAGAACAGTTAGCAAGAAGCCTGCCATGGCCATACAGTGTTTACTTGGTTGGGTCTGAGCGGCTGTGGGACTGGTGGGTGACAGAGATCTGTCCTGACTGTGGGCAAAGCAGGAAAACTCTAGCTACAAATATTAAATAATAAACTGGAAAAAAATCAATTACCTAAGCTAAAAATACAGTGAATGGTTTTACAGAGAAGAGTAAACATTTAAAGAAAAATTAGTCAACTAAAAGATGGATTTGAAGAAAAAAAAGACAAAATATAGAAAGTACATTTATGAAATTCAAGAATAAAAAGTATTTTTAAAAACTATAAAATTAAAAAAGAAAAGCACACAGAAGCACAGATGTCTAACAATACATAAATATTTGAACAACTAATGGCCAGCAGAAGTAGCTAGAAGAGCTGAAGGGTAAGCCTATCAAACAACCTCCCAATCTCTCTCACCATTTTTCCCTGTGGTCAAGAGAAGTCAGTCCATGTATCCACCAATAGACATATACAAAAATCTTCATAGAAAATTCACCATTGTCAAATATTAGAAACACCTAAGCATCTCTCAACTGTTGTTTGGATAAATAGTGATGTGGCTAAATACAATTTTTGCCAGGAATGATAATGCATGCCTTTAATCCCAACACTTTGGAGGTAGAACCAGGTGGATCTCTGAGTTCAAGGTCAGTCTGGTCTACATAATGAGTTCCAGGACAGGCAGGGCTATGTAGAGACCCTGTCTCAATAATAAGAGGATGAGGATGAGGATGAGGATGAGGATGAGGATGAGGAGGAGGAGGAGGAGGAGGAGGAGGAGGAAGAGGGAGGAGGGAGGAGGAGGAGGAGGAGGAGGAGAAAGTGGGAACCAGGACTGAACTCAGGCTTTACCTTTACCCACTGAGCCAACTTACTAGCCCTTGTTTTGGTTTTTGAGACAAGGTCTTAAATAGCCAGACTAGTCTCCAATTCCATAACTAAGGATGGCCTTGAACTTCTAATCTTCTTGCCCCTACCTCCCAAGTGATGAGAATGAGGAACACAGGCCCCTGCCTGGACCCCTCGCTTGGCTATTCTGCAGCCATGACAGGCTATGAAAAAGACCTAACAGGATGTAGGCCCTTGGCACAGCATGATGTGCCCTTGAGCCCTAGCTCTAGTTACAGGAAAACCCCACCAGATGTCCCAATATAGTAGAAGAAGCCAGTTAAAAGTTACAGCTAGCTGGCTCATGAGAAAGAAAAAAAAAAAAAAACATAGTAACCATAGCAACCACTGAAAGAGATAATAGTTTTCTTGCAGCTGCAAACTAACCAAGGACAGCACCTCCAGATGGGAGGTACATCGATCCTGAGTCTGTTCCTATGTAGTCTGTAGACCCCAAACCCCCGCTTGCTTTACTCCCTATATATATCCTGCCCTCTTGCTACTCGGGGTCTCTTCTGCTCTGTTGCTGCATCAAATGGTTGAAGAGGCCCGGGTCAACTCACAACAGTAAAAAGACTCTGCTTTTGCATCAGATTTGGTCTCTTGGTGGTCTTTAGGGGGCTCTGGGTACAGCAGGGATGAGAGCTATATACCATCACCCCCAGTTTATATAGGGCTAGGGATCAAAGCCAGTGCTTAATAAATACTAGATAAGCACTCTACGAACTGAGCTACATTCCCAGCCAGCAATTCCTAACTTCTTGTTAGTGAGGTTCTTGTGCACCAAGGAAAACAAAGGAAACACAAAAAAGAAAAATCAGATCCTTCAGACCCTTAGAAATGCATTAAATACATTAACTGATTATTTCAAAGGAAAACCCATGATAACAAGATGCTGGAGAGATGGCTCAGCAGTTAAAAAACTTGTTGCTCTTGCAGAGGACCTCGGTTTGGTTCCCAGCACACACACGGTGGCTTACAACTATCCATTTAACTCCAATTTCAGGGTATCCCTTTCTTCTGACTTTAAGAGGACCAAGCATGCAAGTGGTACACATACATACATGTAGACAATACACTCCTACACATTTAAAAATATAAGTTCCTTTTTAAAAAACATCACAGAAAGATCAGTAAACACTTTTTGTCTCAAGAGAAAATAAAACTGCCAAATCTTCAAAGCAAAAGAAATAAATAAATACTCTTTGAAGTTTTAAATGTAATTGTAACAATCGAGTCATCTCTCGTGCATCACTCACCTGGTGGCTTGAGTCCTCAGTGCTTTGCTTGATAAAGTCCTCTAGCTCCTGTTTCTCTTTCATCGTCTTCTCTAGCTGGTCATTAGCTTGCCTTAGCATTACCTGCAGTTTCTTCACCTATATAATTTACAAAGTCAACAAGAAGGAAGCAGTGGGGTTTTTGCTGTTGTTGTTTACAGGGGCACTAGGAGTTCATTCCAGGGCCTCATGCATGCCAGGCAATGGCTGGACTGTGCTACACCCACAGCCCACAACTTTTGTGTAAGTTAAAAATAAATAACTCCAAAAAATTTTTGGAGAAGTACCATAGATTTGTCAATTCAGAAAAAAATGAACAACATCAAGAACTACATTATGCTTTACAGTTAGCAACAGCTTTTCACATACATAATCTCATTTGAAAACCTCTTTTCTGTTAGGCCCTCCAGGATCTAGAGTTGGCCTCCCTATCTCCTCTAGCCCCTGCCTCTGATCTACAATTCACATGAACCCTATAAATTTTATAAAAGTGGAATTACAACGATTTTCCCACTTACAAGCAATAATGCCTCCAAAGTTGCCAGGCTTAAACTTAATCTCCCCTGATTACCACCTCTCCTCTCCTGATTACCACCTCTCCTCACTGGTCTATCTGGCCAGTCTATCTTCCTTTGCAACTCCTTCTCCCCCTAGTTTCTAAACTCCCACACCAGTCATGTGTCCTGGAACATATTCTCTCACAACTCTGTACATTCCCCTCCTTAAATAGACTCTCTCCTTCTCTAGTTCTCCTAATTTGAAAGCAGGCTGTAAAACAGGCAAACAATGCTGCCTCTCCTGAGCCTACAACTAAGCTGCAAACCCTCCTCTAGTGTAGACGTTCATCTCTAGGAACCAGCTAGATTGAACTTATGTTTGGTCTGTAAAGCTGAAAGCTCCTTACGGGTCAAAACCATCTTTCAGCTGTATCTGAATTGCTAGGATCCAGCAAAATACCAGGCACACAAGAAGCATTAATAAAAGTCTACAGAAATAATTAAGGAATCCAAGACAGCCCTTTTCCACGTCAGGCTATCAGAGGCCAATATATTATCTTAGTTTTATAAGTAGCTTGAAAATTTCACCTGTAAACTATCAAAGAAAAAAGACTACAGTGACATTTGAGAATATGAGATCATCATTCTAACCTCCTTCAAACTCTGATGGCAAAGGCAATAAATAATCTTCATAACAACCAAAGAAAAATATTCTCTTTTCCTGACATGCTTTCACAAGGCCTACTCTTGTTAAATTCTATATTGTTTCCTAAGTGTTACCAATGTCGTACTATTCTACTTTGCATTTGGAAAAGAACTTTACCCTCAAGTTCAGCAGTCCAAACCTGCATAGGTATGCCCTATGAATTACCATTAATCAAGTCAACAAATTTACAACAAATAGGCAGTAAGCAAAGAGTTCAAATTCTGGCCACCATGACATCCAGCTAGCTTTTATTCTGTCAGAGACCACAGTAAATCTTTCCTCCCTAATCTCTGTACCATGACGTATACTAAGGGTGAGATCAGGCCAGCATCAAGTTTAGGTGTCGGGGCTTCGGGTGATAGGGTGCAGAGAAAGGAGCTAAGGTGCTGTTCGCACATCTGAGAGCTGAGTTGGCTGATATGGTGTTGGCATGCTAATGAAGCATGAATATCCAGGTCCTAGTGGGCTCTCACTGAAAAGGAGCTGCCACTGTATGTGCTAGCTTATTCCATCACCAGAGAGATACACTCCATAAAGCAGATGGGGGCAGGGGGAAAAAGACAACTCTGTGCCTCTAATGAAACTCACCTGGTCTCTTGTTTCAGCTTCCTGAATCTGAATTCCTTGTAACTGTTTTTCATAATTGGAACACATATCACAACGTCTACCAAGCTTATTTCCAGCATTATGTACCTGAAGAGCACCAAAATTACCACTTATCAGGCAGAACAAAATAATTCTATGTCTCATACTCAAGGAATGAATGCACACTCTTACCAATGTTACTAAGTGAATAGCAGAGTAAATACTTCAGAGATTTACAGGAAGAATTTACAGAGTCAGATTCCAAAAGTCATAACCTCCAGTACAAGTATGGTAGGAAAACAAGGGACACACCTTATCACCAAGGGCCACAAAACATCACATTTGAAGCACACACAAAACAAGCAAAAGGGCTACGCCATGCACTCAATGCTCTCTACCCAATGGGAAGAAGAAAAGAAAGGCAGTGCTGATTTCCCCCATGGCCAGCTCCAGTGACACACTGGGTACAACACCAGTAAGTAGCATGTTCTTTACATGTCCTGCATCGCTCAAGGACAGTGGCTTATTTAGGGTTAGCAGCCTGCTCCACGTACTCACTGAGTGCTTCTTTAAAGAGAAGTAGCCCTGAGTAGGGAAAGCACGAGTGTCAGAAAACCTTGATTCTAACCCAGGTTTCACTTGATCTTTCTGAGACAGTTACTTCATCTATAACTGGGAACAGTTATGACCTGACTGCCTCATTATAATCATAAAGCTCAAAGAGACGAGGTATGTGAAAAGGCTTGGAAATCTGTAAAGCAGTGTGCAAATACAACTTACACCTCCCCATCATTCCCCTACCCCAACACAGGTTTCTCTGTGTAGTTTTGGAGCCTGTCCTGGAACTCGCTCTGTAGACCAGGCTGGCCTTGAACTCACAGAGCTCTGCCTGCGTCTGCCTCTTAAGTGCTGGGATTAAAGGCATGTGCCACCACCAGCTGACACAACTTACATTCTTATAATACTAATCTTTTAAGTTTGAAAATACTTTAAGGAAAATTACCCTTCATCAAGGCTGCCTTTTTTTCTCTCCCATATTTCCCTATCCTCCTTAAACCCACTCTCTGTATCAAGTTCTTAACCATTTTTGCATTTTATAACTAAAGGAAAAATGGGTAAGTGAATCACGGCATACACTCAGGTTCAGTAAACTAAAAGCCCAAATTCAGGCTGTTCTAACTATGATGCTTGTTAACACCACTGGCCAGCCAGCTTTTTGTGACTGTCATATAGAAGAAACAAGGCAGACTTGACAAGGGGTGGGTGTATGCTAACACATACTTGCTAGCAGCACATGCCTGCACTGACTCCAGGAACTGTCGTCTACTGAATCAATAATTAATGCCAAAATTACCTAATCCCTCTAGAGTTCCAGAGAGCAAGCTGTGGTGGCATACACCTATAATCCCAGCACTGGAGAGGTACAGAGAGGAAATCAAGTCATCCTCTGAATTTCAAGGTCATCTTCACTATATAATAAATTGGAGGCTAACAGGCTACATGAAACTTTGTCTCGAAACAAAAAGAGAACAAAAGAAACAAGGTCAGAATAGCTCACCTCTTTTTGCAGGAGATTCCATTCAGTCTCACTCACTAAGCGGTAACCACTGGGAGATACATATGCACTCTCCATACCCTGGGTGACACTAGAGAGAAGGGATGCTGTTTCCTCCTGTTCAGGTGTCATTGCCTTAATTGCTCTTTCTTGATCTTTGGTTAACATAAATCCACTTGGCATCTGCAGTGACCCAAGCGACACAGTATCAAAGTTCTCAGACACAGAATCTGCTCCAACCAGTGGTCCAAAATCCGACTCATCCAAGTTTCCAGCAGACTTTGCTTTGTAGTTATAGCCTAATGCTTTTGATTGCAATGAGCTTGAGGTTCCCAAGCTGTCTGTAGACTGAGCTCTCCGGAGTCCATCTTTAAACATGTCATTGTCCGATTTACTGAATGGATCTCCAGATGGTAACAGCAAGTCTGCATCTAAGGAATGAACTGACCCATGGGTGCTGTCTAAATGCTCCTGAAATGTAAAAACATATATTTTCAAGTTAGATAATTCTCTGAACTCCAAAAGAGAAAAGCTACCACGTACTATATATATTTTGCCACACATTAAACATAATAATCATTTTGCTGCCTTGACATAATCATTGAACAACTATTTATCAAATAAATCTCTTTGTATGTTGGGTACTACTCAGGCACAGGTTAGATTCATAAACAAAATACAACTTCTAATTTTAAGATATGTATAGTTTCTTGAGAGATTAAACAAGTAAATGGGCTCTCACAATACTATTAAGTAATGACACAAGACAGAGGTGAGCTCTATGCTCTGGAACATCTGTGTTGTGAAATATTATTTAACTAGGCAAAGATGTGTTACATTTGTTTTTGCTACAGAATATTACTTTAACTGTATAAAGGTGTGTTACTTTTCTTTATGCTGCATTTGTTTAACTATGTAAAGACATGTTGCATTTCTTTCACCTTGTCTGCCTAAGGCACCTGATTGGTCTAATAAAGAGCTGAAGGCCAATAGCTAGACAGAAAAAGAATAGGCTGGTAGGCAGAGAGAATAAACTGGAAGAAAAATCTAGGTTCAAGAGAGAAGAGGCGAATGAGGGAAGAAGAGAGGAGAGAATGAGGCAGATGCCCAGGGCTAGAAGCCAGGCAGCCGCTAGGCAACAGACACAGAGTAAAGGGGGGAGGGAGAGAGAGGGAGGAGGGTGGTAAAAAACCTCGAGGCAAGCATAAAGAGAAACAGGTTAAAAGAGCAAGCCAGAAACAAGCCTAAGCTAGGCCAAGCATTCAAAACTAAAAAGTCTCCATGTCATGATTTGGTAGCTGGCTAGTGGCCTTAAAAAAAAAAAAAAAAAAAAGCCTGCTATACATCTGGTCAAGAAATGAGGAACTGGCAAACATCATGTGCAATTCAGTATTGATCATGTTAAGTGTGAAGTGCCTGCTGAAGACCCAAGTACAGACATTTACGAGACAGATGCACATGAAAGTCTTTAGAACATTGTATAAAGATAACTAAATGCACCTTTATCCCAGCACTTGGGAGGCAGCAGTACATAGACCTCTGCGAGTTCCAAGCCAGTCTGGTCTACATAGTGAGTTACAGAACAGTCAGAGCTATGCAAAGAGACTCTGTTTCCAAGAAAATAAAAGAGGCAAATCCTACAAAGAGTGTAACAGAAGGTGGTCAAGGGCAACAGGAATAAGGAACATCAGTATTTGTGGGATAAGCAAAGGAAGGTACAGCCAGGACAGGAAGGAAAGCAGGAAATCATACTGTGGAACCAAGTTTCAAGCAAGGCATAACAGGGAAAAAGCCAAAAGTACAGTGAACATCACATGACTCATCTACAGGAAATGTCCAGAACACAGAGACTGATTGCCAGAGGCTGGGGAAGAGGCATAGGGTCTCTTCTTTTGGGGTGATAGAAATGTTTTCACACTAGGCAGAGGCAGTAACTGCACAACACTGAACATATTAACAGCATAGGAGTTGCACACTTGAAATTGCTAATTCTATGTTGCATATGCACATTTTATGCATTTATTCTTCTCAACTATAAAAGAAATATATGAAGCAAATGCAGACTAGTGCTACTGTACAATTCAATCAGAGTGAGAGAGTAAGAACAACAAGAAGAAGCTGGGGACTGGGGATTTAGCTCAGTGGTAGAGCGCTAGTGGATTCAGTCCTCAGCTCTGAAAACAAAAAAAAAAAAAAAAAAAGAGGCTGGGCAGTGTTGGCGCAGGCCTTTAATCCCAGCACTTGCGAGGCAAAGGCTGGAGGATCTCTGAGTTCCAGACCAGCCAGGATTCACAAAGAAACCCTGTCTCAAAAAATAAATAACAAGAAGGGTCAGCACCACGGTTCAGCAGTTAAAGGTGCTTCCTTCTTGCAACTGGATAACCTGAGTTCAGGACCCACATGGACAAAACCAACTCAGAAAGTTGGCCTCTCACTTCTAGATGTATGCTGTAGCGTGTGTGCACACACACACAATGTCAAAATAATTAAAGAATAACAAATGTAGTGAGTTGTTTTTAAATTATATTCAATTTAAATGACTATTCTTGGGCTGAAGAGGTGGGGCTCAGTGGTTAAGACCACTGTCTACTCTTGCACAGGACCTAGGTTTGGTTCCCATCACCTACATGATGGCTGACAACCACTTGCAACTCCAGTTCCAGGAAGTTCAATGCCCTCTGCTCACCTATGCAGGTGCCTGCACACATGTGGTTTGTATGCTATATTTAGGCACACACACATAAAAGATTAAAATGGCAGCCAGGCATGGTGGTACATGCCTTTAACTCCAGCACTCAGGAGGCAGACACAGAAGGATCTCTTTGAGTTTGAGGCCAGCCTGGTCTACAAAGCGAGTTCCAAGACAGCTAGGGCTATTACACAAAGAAATTCTGTCTCAGAAAACAAAAAGGATTAAAATGACAAAGATTTCTTCTAATTAATTAGTTATTTAAATTTTTTGTGCATTGGAGCTGGAGTTGCAGGCAGCTGTGAGATGCCAGTGGGTGCTGGGACTTGAACCTGGATCCTTTAGAAGAAGAGCCAGTGCTATCAACTGCTAAGCCATCTCTCCAGTCCCAACAGCTCTTTAAGATAATGTCATGCCCCCACTTTTTAAGATAGTCTCATTATGTTGCTTCAACTGACCTGAAACTCACAAAGATCTATCTAACCCTGCTTCTAAGTGCCAGGGTTAAAGGCATTGTGCCACCATGTTAGACCTACTTTTTGTTTTAAATATCCTTTTATAGACCAACTAGAAGAGACTGAGGAATATGTCAGTTGATTTCATTGGTTTTTATTTTCAAGTGTTTTGAAACTATTATCTGCCTTTAATCCCAGCACTCGGGAGGCAGAGCCAGGCAGATCTCTGTGAGTTTGAGGCCAGCCTGGGCTACAGAGTGAGTTCCAGGACAACAGCCACCAAAGCTACACAGAGAAATCCTGTCTCAAAAAAAGAAAACAAAACAAAACAAAACAAAAAACAAAACAAAACAAAACAAAAAAAAACTACTAGTCTATCACCTTAGCAATAGCTTGAGAAATACAAACAGCTAAGGAAGTGAAAACTGTTCCTGGTCACCAAGACGGCTCCATTTTTATAGGCACTTTCCACTAAGCCTGATGATCTGAGCTTTACCTCAAACCACATGGTAGAAGAAGAGAACTCAAATTCACAAGTTGCCTCTTAGCTCCACACATGTGCCATGACACATTTGCTCCCACCAGGATAAATAATAAATACAAAAACAAAAGACTAGTTTGTGGTCTTTCTAATATATGATTCTACAATATTCTACATTACCTTAAAAATGTTAATGCCTTTAAATTTTCTATTCTTTTTCTAAGGACTTAAAAAATGAGATATATTACAGCAATTTGTGCAAGGAAAATTATATATAATAGCATTACAGCATTATTTAATGAAGACATTTACGGCAGCAAAAACTATAACCAATTTGGTAAGTGGTGTATTAGTCATGTTTGTGTTCTACAGGCAGAGACTATACATACATCCTACTGCCTGCTTGGAGACAACCCTCACATGTAAACTGGACAATCTCAAATCCATACCCTACTACTCCTTTATCCAGTTTTCACCGAGCCATTATTTTCCCTGCCCCAAATCACCCAGGAACAGGTAGGTTCCAAATAACCAATCAAGTTCCTATGGCCCAAAGGCTGCCAGAATTATTCAAACTGGCCGGTCCTGAGTTTCTCCCTGTGCTTGCAAGGCATGCTATGGCTCTCATTTCTAGAACCATGAACTGGGGATGCAGATCAGTGGTACAACACTTGTTTAAAACCTACTAGGCCTAAGGAAAAAGACAGAAAAGTTAAAGCAGGTTGTTCCTAAGGTACTGACCACTTCATGCTGTCAGGCACCTCATAAATTAAAACCTGGCAACAAAGTAGTAGGAAAATGGCCAAAAGGATTATGGTACATTTACATATTAAAATTTTATTACATGGATTAAAAAAATTTAAGGGTGCCAAAACCTTAAAGTAGATTTAACCAAGGAGGAACATTCATAAGCATGTAGTCACTATGTAGATTATGTGTGCAAAGTACCAATCAGGCATGATGTCGCATGCCTGTAATTCCAATGCAAGGAAGATAGAGGCAGAAAGCTCAAGGTCAGCCTGGAATACATAAAGTCTGTCTCAAACAAAATAAAGGAAAGCAAACAAACAAAACAAATCGGAACATATTTGTTTTCCTTTCTTTGGAAAAGGAAACAGAAAAAAAGGAGAATGACACATGCCATAACATTAGAGACAGTTTTCCCTGGGTAGTCAAAACAATTATTTTTATTTGTATGGCCCTTCCTGTACTTCAGAAATGCTCCATAATATTTTCCTATTACTTTCATAGTGAAAAAGCATAATCTAAGTACCAAAATAAAGATGACATGGGAGTGCTCAAAAATATTAAATGTCCTTAGCAATAAATCTAAGTCTCCAAAGCATTCTATATTAATTTTAATTTACCAGCCAAATTAAATTACCATGATTCTGAACATAAAACAATTATATTCAACACTGAAAATGCAAAACATCAGGTCTGAAAGTTAAAATACACATACACATGGTGGAGGTGACAGTTGTTACTACCAAGAACTAAACCTAGGACCTCATGCATGCTAGTCAACATTCTGCCATGGAGCTGCATCCTCCAGCAGAAAGTCTAAAATATACTTTAAAGGCTGGAAAATGATATGCCAGCATGAGAAAGCTGTTAAAAAAAGAAACAAAAATAACAGAAATACTTCCTTATAAATCACAAATTCTCCTTTCCTGTTTTCTAAACATTCCCGGATAGATTACTGCATGATGCAAATGCTATGTAATATCTGAACAAAAAGATAGAGACATTCTCCTGGGAGTCTAAGTATTTAAAAAAAACTCAGAGCAGAACTGCCAGTTGGTCCTTAGTGTGTGCTCCAAAACAAACAAAAAAAATGTACAAAAACAAGAGCATCATATTTTTCAGTGTCTGTTAGATTAAAAAAAAAAAAAAGAAACTAATGTCAAGCTATCAATAAAGATGAAAATATAAGCCACCAGGAGCTGTACTATACATGGTTCAGAGTAAATCTGCAAACTAAACAGAAACAACATACCTGTTAGGAAAATGTATTCAACTTAACTGCAACTGTTCACCAGCTGGGAAAGGAGGTGAAAGTTAGGCAAGTGTGTATGACCAAACTCCCCACCTTTCCAATGCTGGAGATCAAACTAGGGCCTTACACATGTTAAGTAAGCATTCTACTACTGAACTGTAGCTATGGACCTTGTAAGTATGAAATCATAAGCAACAAGGATAGCATAAACAACACTTACAAGTATGGACCACAAGCAGCCGGGCCTAACTGTGGTGAAGTAAGAACAAGAGGAAAGCGAGAAGGGCCATTCAACTGGGAAAGGAGGGTCCTTATTTTGATTCCAAAGGCACTAGATACAAAAGTATTTCCTTTACTAAAGAAAGGATGGGTATTAGGAGACTCTGGCCCAGAGAGATAGGTCAGTAGGTAAAGGCACTTGCTGTCAAGCCCAAAGACCTAATTTTGATTCCCAGGTCCCACAAGATGGGAGGAAAAACAGTCCTGACCTCCATATGCATTCTGAGTGCCCCCCGCCCCCCCCCCTCTATATATACTAAAATAAAAATGTTTGTTTGCTTGTTTGTTTTAAAGAAAATCCTTCTCAGGGCTAAAAAGATGGCCCGATGGTTAAAAACACTTGCTGCTCTTGCAGAGCAACAGTCTATGTAAAGAATTTCCACTCAATGATGTAGGTTATGGCAGTCAGTGGTGGTTTTGCATACAAGAGTGGTCTGACCACAACCACACTAAAGGGAGAGAAATGGACAGTAATGCTGAGGGTACAACAGAGTATGAGAAATCAACGCAGAGGCCCTTACCATACTTATAGGTATGAGATGACAGACCACAGGCACAACATCTGACATACTGCATCCCAACGCTTGCACTTTTCCTCGAAGTTTCAATGCAACCTGCCAAACTTTACCTTCTATTTCAGAACAGAAGCCCTAATGCTAGAGCTGAACAGGTGGCAAGCTTCTGTAATCAATCCCAATCTTCAGGAAGCTGAGGAAGGAGTAACCTTGAGAGCAAGGTCAGCCTGGGCTACATACCAAGACTCTGTCGTCCCCCCACCAAAAAAACAAGTATTTAGTAATATGTATAATTCACATTAAAAACAGACATCAAGGGCTGGAGATATGGCTCTACAGTTAAGAGCACTGACTGCTCTTCCATGTGGGTTTGATTCCCAGCATCCACGGGGATGTCTCAACCATCTGTAATTCCAGTCCCAGGAATCTGGGGCCCTCCTTTGGCCTCTGTGAGCACTACATGCACATAGTGCATAGACGTACATGCAGGCAAAAAACACCTATGTTTAAGTATATATGTGTATGTAATATATATGTACACATATACACATATAATATATATGTACATATGTATCCATACATATACTAAATCAAGACATCAGGTGACTTTGAAAAGCTCACACTTGAATGTGTCTTATCCTTTCCCCTGACTCTTTTCTATTAACACTGGGCTTAAATTTGTTATTGTAATAATCTTTTAAGCTGGATAGTGGTGCATGACTTTAATCCCAGAACTCAGTAGGCAGAGGCAGGCAGATCTCTGTGAGATTAAGGCCAGCCTGGTCTACAGAGTGAGTTCCAGAACAGCCAGAGCTAAACAGAGAAACCCTGTCTTGAAAAAACCAAAACAATAATTATAATAATCTTCAATAAACCCTCAATTCTGATTCAAAACAAAACAAAAACCTTTTCATTTAAAGACTTGTTCTAATGTATGATATTTTTTTGGAACTACCAGTAAAGGAATATCTACTAATTTTAAAGGGTGAATGAAACTTCAATATGTTTTCAAGTAGTGTTATAATTTTGCAAGAGTAACTAAGAATAAAGTTACCATTTTATCTCATTTTTCACTTATGTACTTTCCACATAAACAAGGTGTCCTGGTTAGTTTTTTTCAAGTTGACACAAGCTAGAGTCACTTGGGAAGAGGGACCCTCAATTTAAAAAAAAAAAAAAAAACTCCCACCAGAGCATTGGCCTGTGGCAAGCTTGAGGAACATGTTATGGAGTAATTGATGTGCAGAGCTCAGCCCACTGTGGGCTGTGTCAACCCTGGACAGGTGGTCCTGGGGCGCAAGCCAGTAGTAGCATTCTTCCATGGCCTCGGCATGACTTCCTGTTCTAACTTCCCTCTGTGATGGAGTATGACCCGAGTATTGTAAACTAAAGAACTTTCCTCTCCAAGTTGCTTTTGTCATGGTGTTTAATCACAATGATCAATACCCTCACTAATATATAAGGTAAACTAATAAACTAAAAATTATAACATTAGATATAAAATTTTTTGAAATACTTTTGAGTCTTGGTCTCCTGAAGCCTCTCATCTCAGCCTCTGCCATCCACCATATAAAATAGCTGTAGTCATAAATTCACCATACCTCTTCATTTGATAAGGGTGTTGAAGATTCTTCTTGAGTTAAAGCACATACTACTGGTATTTTTACTTCTTCTTCAGTATCTGTTTTTTTGTTATCTTTTCTCTTATTAAGCCTTTGTTGTTCATCCTCCTCCTAAAAGTTAGAAAAAAAGAGCATTATTTAGCTACCGAGGTAATCTATATGTAAGAGTCATACAGTTCTTCGACCACTCAAAACAAGAACAGAGATCTTTATGAGAACAGAAAATTAGACACATGATTATTTGTTCTGTAATCAGTATATAACCTCACCATTTTACTACTGTAAGCACAAAGTAAGAAAATCAGGAAGCAACTTTTTAAAAAGTACACTACAAACGTAATGCAAACAAAAGAAAAGCAACACCCTGCTCCTGATCATCCAAAACAGGAAAACTACATAGAACAATCCCATCTCACTACAGAAAAGAGGAAAAGTTAGTCTGACATCACACTCCTATTCAAAACATGTACAACTGCTGGTACTACTGATAGTGGCAGTAACCCCAGCAATTTGGAGGCTAAGGTAGGAGGCACAAATTCAAGGCCAGGTTGGGCTACATAGTGAGACCCTATCTCATAAAACTTGAGAGGGAGAGGGAGAGGGAGAGGGAGAGAGAGAGAGAGAGAGAGGG